GAAGATCACCATTCCCTCCCCACTTCTGGGGAAAGGATATTGCAAAATCTCCATTCCCACCCCACTCTGCGGCCAGCCAGAGGTGGTATTTGCTGGTTCTCTGAACTACTCAAAATTTCCGCTACCGGTTCCCCAAAACCTGTCAGAATCTGCTGGATTTCACCCCTGATTTTAAGATATAACAGGACTCTTAACCCATCCAAATTTTTCAAACTTTACAACCAATTGGGTTGGAGCCAGAGGTGGGTTTCAGCAGGTTCTGACCAGTTCTGGAGAACCGATAGCGGAAATTTTGAGTAGTTTGGCAAACCGGTAGTAAAAATTCTGACTGGCCCCGCCCCCATCTATTCTCTGCCTCTCAAGTCCCAGCTAATCGGGAGGAAATGGGGATTTTGCAGTAATCTTCCCCTGGATTAGAGAGGGAATGGAGATTTCACAGTATCCTTCCCCTGCCACGCCCGCCACGCCACGCCCACAGAAACAGTAGTAAAAAATGTTGAAACCTACGACTGGTTGGAGCCTTCTAAGCTTCAGAGAAAAATATTACATAGAGCAGGGGCCACTGCAGAAAAGGCCCATCTTCTAGTCCCCATTAGCCAACGTTCTTTGACTGACAGGATGTACAGCATGCCCAATCTGCTAGATTGAATTGGATAGGTAAAGAGCCCAGGGGTGAAATGCTACTGGTTCACTCTGGTTCGGGCGAACCAGTAGCGATAAAAACTATCGGTTCGCTTGAACCGTTGGGGAAAAAAAGCTACGATCACCTGTGCCGCGCGGTTTAGCTTTGCTAGGAAACAGGATTTCCTGCTTTCTAACAAAGGTACACCGCGTGCCATAGCTGATCCCCCCCCTCGCTGTTCTACTTACCTTCCCAAGCCTCTTTTTGGTGTGCACTTCACATGTGCACGCACTGTGCGTTGGGTGTGCAAGCGCAGCCAGAGAACCGGTAGCAAACCGGTTCAGATTTCACCACTGGTAGAGACTCTTGGAAAAAGGCAGTCCCTCGGGTAACTCAATCCCAAGACATATAGCTCTTTCAAGGTGACAGCCAGCACCTTGAATGGCACCGTACGATGCCATTACATCACTAAAACCGAGTTAATATCGTCTCCTTGGAGCTTGGACAAGCAGCTACTTGGACCGAGTATCCTTAAAGCAATTAAGGATTGTGTAATGGCTTTTAGAATGTAAAATATAGGTCAGAAGGATTGGGGGAGAAGGGATCTCTCTTCTTTTGCCCTCTAATACATTCTCAGTTTGTAGCCTCATCCCTAATACCTAGAGGAGAGTCGCAAAGGTGATTTTTTTCAAGAGGCAACTGGACTTTCTGGGGTTTTTTTTCTTTGAAGACGTTTCGCTTCTCATCCAAGAAGCTTCTTCAGGCTGGATGGTGGAGAAATGGAAGGATTTATATTCCTTGCAGACATTTTATTTATTTATTTATTTAATTTGTATACCGCCCTTCTCCCAGAGGGGACTCAGGGCGGTGAACAGCCAAAATTAAAAAAAACATACAAATACAAAAGTTAAGATAATTAAAAAAGAATTAAATCATTAGCTTCCCAATTTAAAACCCCCAAATCCTTGAAATGTAAAATCCCAATTAAAAACCATTTAGGCTAGGCCGGCTTGGTGGAATAAAAACGTCTTCAGGGCTTTACGGGAGGTCCGGAGGTCCGGGATCAATCGTATTCCAGGAGGCAGCTCATTCCATAGGGCGGGTGCCCCCACAGAGAAGGCTCTCCCCCTGGGGGCCGCCAGCCGACATTGCCTGACCGACGGCACCCTGAGGAGGCCCTCTCTGTGAGAGCGTATTGGCCGGTGGGAGGTTATCGGTAGCAGCAGGCGGTCTCGCAAATATCCTGGCCCTAAGCCATGGAGCGCTTTAAAGATGAGAACCAACACCTTAAAGCGCACCCGGAAGACCACCGGGAGCCAATGCAGCTCGCGCAGGAGAGGTGTTACGTAGGAGCGCCACGTCGCTCCCAAAATCACCCGCGCGGCCGCACTCTGCACCAGCTGGAGCCTCCGGGTGCTCCTCAAGGAGAGCCCCACGTAGAGAGCGTTGCAGTAGTCCAGGCGTGACGTGACCAGGGCATGAGTGACCGTGCACAAGGAGTCCCGATCCAGAAAGGGGCGCACATCTGGTCATTTGCATCCTTTTAGGGAGTCCTTGAGGCCTCCTGGAGGTTTATCTGTGCCATCAGGGTCACCTGAGTAGTGCAAATGGATATGGAGCCGCCTTGGAACTGTTGAAAGGACTGTGTTGAAAGGACCGGAGATAGATGATGTCTTTCATTGAGAAGTTGGAGCTGTGCCTTTTCTGCAGGACGTTTTCTGCCCTGTGTTCCTTCAGTATTGAGCAGAAGCTGTTGGGGATGCATCTCAAACTGAAGCGCGGATCAGGGGGTGCTATTCAGCAGGTTCTGACAGGTTCTGGAGAACCGGTAGCGGAAATTTTGAGTAGTTTGGAGAACCGGCAAATACCACCTCTGGCTGGCCCCAGAGTGGGGTGGGAATGGAGATTTTGCAATATCCTTCCCCCAGGAGTGGGGAGGGAATGGGGATTTTGCAGTATCCTTCCCCTGCCATGCCCACCAAGCCACACCACACCGTGCCCACAGAACTGGTAGTAAAAAAAAAATTTGAGTTCCACCACTGGCACAGATGGTTCCTGTAGTCTGCAATTTTTCTGGAAATCCGTTCATACTCCCGCACCATTCGAAGGGTGTGCATCCCAAGCTCAATGTCTATGGAGATTCTCAATCATCCTCAGTCTGAAAACAAAAAAAAAAAAAAACCATGACCTGGATGACTGAGAATCTCCATAGACACCTAGAGGAGAGCTTTTTTTTTTTTCCACTGCAAAATCAGGTGCATGGGACGATCTGAGTTTAAACAGCAGCAAAGGATCAAGCCTAAAATCTTTTCCATTTGCGAGGTTGCTCAGTATTAATTATCTGTTGAGTTGGGACCAGATATTTTGGATCATTGGAAGAAGTGCCCTGTAAGCGCAATAAATAATTTCCCGCATTTTATGCATCGCAAAAATAAGATCATTGCTTTAACTTGCCTTTGATATTTCTTGCCAATACATAACTTTGGCCGTCATCGGTTTCAAGCTGACTTGCGTTTTGTTTTTGCACCTGTTCAAAACGAAGGGCACTTCTATGTAAAGATTTATGTAGCATAAATTTTAATAAGGATAAGTTATAACCAGAGAGGGGTTTCAGCAGGTTCCGACCAGTTCTGGAGAACCGGTAGCGGAAATTTTGAGTAGTTCAGAGAACCAGTAGTAAAAATTCTGACTGGCCTCACCCCTATCTATTCTCTGCCTCCCGAGTCCCAGCTGATTGGGAGGGAATGGAGAATTCACAGTATCCTTCCCCTGCCACGTCCACCAAGCCATGCCCACCAAGCCACACCCACAGAACTGGTAGTAAAAAAATTTGAAACCCACCACTGCTTATAAATTTTAAATTTGTAATTGGTTTTAACTGGGTTATTTTAAATTGATGGTCAAAACTATTTAATGTTTTTAAACTGCTTTTAAATTTTATATGTTGTGTTTTTTTCCGTGGCTGTTCACCACCCTGAGTCCTGTTGGAGAAGGGCGGTATACAAATTAAATAAATAATAATAATAATAATAATAATAACTCAGTAACATTTTTGGGGGGCAAGTATCAACTCCTAAGATAGTTTTATTGTTGTATTAGAAAATGTCCTATCTAAGCTAATTTTGATGGTGGAGCTCTTAGAACAGACGCTTGGGCCTCATCCGGCCTGCTGGATGCTTAGATCTGGCCCTCAGGGTCACTCTGGAAACGGGGAAGGACCAGCCTGTGGTGCCTCTGCCAGCGAAAACAGAGCTCGGGAGGGCTGCATCCAGGGGTTTCAAACTCGATTTCATTGAGGGACGCAACAGGATTGTGTTTGATCTCGGGGAGCGGGGAGGGCGTGGCCAGCTTGATGTCACTCATCAAGGCCCCATTTTTGGCCATGATGGCCTCCTGCAGCCCCCTGCCAGCAAAAACGGAGCTTAGGAGGGGCCGCCCGTGAGTCCTCCTGAGCTCCTTTTTTGCTGGCAGAGGGCTGCAGGAGGCCGTTGTGGCCGAAAACGGGGCTTCAATGAGTGACGTCAAGCTGGCCACGCCCACCCTGGCCACACCCATCCCCCCATGCTCTCCTAGTCCTCCAAGGTCAAACACAATCCTGATGCCTCTCTCAATGAAATTGAGTCTGACACCCCTGCCTTAGAACGCTTTCCGCTATTTGGGGCTATTTTGATTCTTCTGCCCGTTATGTTTTGTTAATCGTTATTTTTGTCTGTTTTAATACTGTATGCTGCCTAGAGTTGTTTCCAAATTACAGGCAGTCTTCAATTTGCAACCGTTCATGGAGTGACCATTCAGAGTTACTACAGCACTGAAAAAAGTGACCAGTTTTCACACTTAACGACCATTGCAGCATCCCCATGGTCAAGCGATCAAAATTTTGGCTTCCAACCAGCAAAGTCAATAGGAGAAGCCAGATTCGCTGAATGACCACATGATTCGCTTAACAACTGCAGTGGTTTGCTTAACAGCTGCGACCAAAAAAGGTTGCAAAATGGGGCTAAACTCAAGTTAACGACTGGCTAGCTAAACAATCAAAATTTTGGGGTCAGTTGTGGTTGTAAGTTAAGACCACCTGCATGTGTTTTCGGTCAACAAAATACTGCCATCTCAGAACATTGAGGCCTTGAGGGGATTTGACAATCTTACAGATGATTGTTTTAATCATTTTTTTAAGTTTAATTTAATTGGGAGGGTTGTGGATGCCATCTGGGTTGGATGCAACAATGCTGACCTCCGAGAGACATTAATCCTATTTAATGTAACTCTTCATATTGCTTGTGAAGCAATAAACCAAGAATGTGTGAAAATAGAAATGATTTCCCGGCTTCTGGTGCTCAGCGTCTTTTCTGAAGCCAAAATATCCTTCTCCTTTTTGCAGTGGTAGCCGCTCTTCTAAAACTTTTAAACCAAAGAAGAACATTCCGGAAGGCTCCCACCAATATGAGCTGCTGAAACACGCGGAGGCAACTCTTGGAAGTGGCAACTTACGGATGGCTGTTATGTTGCCCGAAGGCGAAGATCTAAACGAATGGGTTGCCGTGAACAGTAAGGAGAATCTGCTTTGGTTCTGTATATGTTTTCAAGCACTGATCCATGAGGAAAAAAAATCTTATTTTGTCTTTAATATAATCCATTCCTCCTGGAATTGGTCAACTGAGACATACTATTTAGTAGGAAGTACAGGAAGTCCTCGACTTACAACAGTTCATTTAGTGGCCATTCCAGGGGTAGGATTCTACCGGTTCGGACCAGTTCGGGCGAACCTGTAGCTCCGACAATCAGCTGTGACCGAACCGGTTCGCTCCAACAATCAGCGCTTTACTTACCTTTATATCCTTTGTTTGAAGCCCAGCTGATCGGCGCGGTAAAGCGGATTGCCGCGCCTCAGCTGTTTTACTCACCGGGGCTGCAGTAGAAGGTAAGTTTTAGCGCTTAATTCAAACGCACCACGTGCACGCTCAGCGAACCAGTTATTACACTGGTTGAATCCCACCACTGGCCGCCTTTCGAAGTTACAACGGCACTGGGAAAAAAGTGACTTATGACTGCTTTTCACTCTTAACGACCGTTGCGTCATCCCCGGGGGGTCACGTGATTTACATTTGGATGTTTTGACAACCGACTCAGGTGGATGACAGTGGCAGTGTCGTTATGTGTGAAAAACGGTCATAAAGTCACTTCTTTTCAGTGCCGCTGTAACTTCGAACGGTCCCTAAACAAAGTGTTGTAAGTCTTGAGGGCTACCTGTGTTTTACAATATTTGTAAATCCCTCATCGTCATGAATCTGGATGACGAACAACCCAAGAAACTGTAATGAAATAAAAGCGCCACAGCAGAAAGCAGTTGGTTAGAAGACAGTTAAACGAAAACAGGAAGCTAAAAACTTAAGGCTGTTCGGGTGGCCTTAAACCCCAGAAATATTGCCCTGCTTTGAATTCACGGCAGGACAGTTTGATAAGACAAATTTGTGCAGCAAAAACATTAAACTTCACCTCCTTTCTGAACTCTGCTGGAAACGAAGCTGGCTTAAGAAGCGGTCGTCTGGATTCAATCTGTTCCTTGGTTTTGGCAACAATGCCAGCCAGATGTTCTGTCTGGACTCATGTTACCATGGTTCCTGATTTAGTTATTTTTAGCCGAAATGTACCAAAGAAAAACACAATAAGCAGATCTAATATTAATAATATACTGATTCTACAGTTTTTTTTTAAAAAAGGAATGAATACTAATGTCTATTCATTTAAATAAAACTAAAAAAAGGCCCGTGTAATAACATAATAACATAATGTATGTAATAACATAATTTCCCAGTTGATGAATTCCCCTCCGTTTCCCTCCTTCCTACTCATGCTTTTAGTTACGTTTCTGTTTGTGGACATGTGGTCTCAGTTTACTCGTTTCCACCTGGTTTACTAGTCTCACAAAAAGACTGCAGGCAGTTTTACCATTCTTGCTTTCCTCTTCAGCTATTCAACTTTCAATGAGTAGCCCATCTTTTTTTTTTTTTTTTAATTTGATTTATATGCCGCCCTTCTCCGGAGACTCAGGGCGGCTTACAATGCGTTAAGCAATAGCCTTCATCCTTTTGTATATTTTTTACAAAGTCAGCTTATTGCCCCCACAAACTGGGTCCTCAATTTACCTACCTTAGAAAGGATGGAAGGCTGAGTCAACCTTGAGCCTGGCGAGATTCGAACTTACTAATTGCAGACAGCTGGAGTTAAATTACAATGCATTAGTCTGCTGAGCTATCCAGGCTCAGTTCTTCATAATTGTTTTAAGGCAAATGGGTAAATTCCATGTGTGAAAACCTTGAAATCACTTTGAGTTTTGTTCCGATATACTGGAACAGCTGTGGTCAGGTTTGCCTCTTTCCCTCTTCCATCATCATCATCATCATCATCATCATCATCATCATCATCATCATCATCAGATTGATGAAAGGAAAAAGAAAAGACTATTCCACCATACATTTGTCATCTCTTTTACTTAAAAAAAAAATTAAAGATTATCACTACAGCTAGTCCTGGACTTACAACTGTTTGTTAGTGGCTGTTCAAAATTTACAGTGGCGCCGGAAAAAAGTGGTTTTCACACTTACGACTGTCGCAGCATCCCCATAGTCATGGGATTCAAATTTGAACGCTTGGCAACTGGTTCGTATTGATGACGGTTACAGTGTCCCGGGGTTGTGTGATCCCTTTTTGCCACCTTCTGATCAGCAAAGTCAATGGGGGAAGCCAGATTCGTTTATCAACCGTGTCACTAACTGAACAACTACAGTGATCCACTCGACAACTGTGGCAAGAAAGATTGCAAAGTGGGGCAAAACTCACTTAACATGTATCTTCGCTTAACAACAGACATGTTGGACTCAAATGTGGTCGTAAGTCGAGAAGTACCTGTATCTGATTTTTCCACACAATTCACCAGTTCTCCCTGGCCAGCCATGCCTTCTGGTTTTATATGGGAAGAGAAGGGCAGGCAGCTGAGCAGGAATAGCCCTGGAAGTCGGGGATCGGCGATTGCAAGGATATCTGTGTGTCCCCAATAACACACCCTGGCCAGTTGGAGTGGAGGCATTTGCCGCCGGGATTGCATAGCCCCGCCTTGCACTGACAGAGATTGGAAGTCATCAATTTCAGTACCTATTCTGCCCCAGCTACGGACCCCAAAGAACGCAGCACACACAAACTCTATACAAAGCTTATTTTACTCAAATAACTCAGTCTTTATCAACCAAAGGCTGTTAATAAACTATCTTAACAGCCTACCAGAATTCTAAGATAAGGTAATCACAGTCTTACTAGAGTTGGCAGAAAGCCCAGAAGCAATTTTGCAGAGAATCCAGACGCGAAGGAGAGTGAACTAAAGTTGTTCCCTACAGTTTGCTGCAAGCGGCGTTCCTCCTTAAATAGGCTAAGGGAGTGGCCAATTAGCCCCAAGCCTTACTCTCGAGATCTCCTCCTGAGGAGCCACTCCTGCCTTTTGGCAGCTCTGCACGCCCGTGCATTGAGAAGAGGCTCCTCCTCTTCGTCCTCTTCACTTAAAGGAGCTTCTGGAGGTTCTGAAGGCCCTGGCTGAATCCCTGCCTCTGGCATCACATCTTCTCCAGCCTCCTCACTGTCCAACTCGAGCGCCAGCTGCACAGGCTGCTGGCGCAGAACAACACCAGCCTCCTCGTCGGAATCAGCTACAATTTGCACAGGCCGCTGACGGGCCACAACAATACCCTTCACAACTGTGGCAAGAAAGGTGTTCTGTCCCCAACCACACGCACACACACCAACAGACGTTCAAGAGTTAAAGACCAAACCAGCCGGCAAAATCCTTTTCCTTATGATAACGGAACTTGGCAACAACCTAGTGGCTGCCTGCCAAGAGTTTATTATTTACGAAGAGGAGAGATAACTTCTCCCCACTCCTGGTACATCAAAAGAAACAGCTCAATAATTATGGAGTCAATCAAGTCCAGAGATAATCCAGCAAAGTCTATAGCAAAAAGTCCAGCAATGCAGAATGGCGTGGAAGCTTTCAGCTTTGTTCGTCACAAGGTTTGACTGGCCACCACGCTCCCTTTTATATCCTGTGGGGTGTGGTCCAGTGACTCAGCCTAATCTCGGGCATGCCTTTTCTTCTGTTGCGCGCGCTTATCTCTGCGACGCTGGTGTGGATCCAGCCAAGACTCATTACCCTCATCACTGTCCATCTGTGGCTGCGTGGACGTGCTTGGCCCCGGCCCTATCTCTTGCCCTTTGGCGGACACCGAAGGCATTGCCAGAGAGGAGGGTCCTGGAGAGGAAGGCCTTGCCAACTCCTCTCCTTCACTCTCGGAGTCCTCTCCTGCCGATGACACAGGCTCAGATAACGGAATCACAACAAAAGGTCGTAAAATGGAGCAAAACTCTCTCCCTCAGCAGCTGGAATGTTAGGCTTAATTGTGGTCGTATGTCGAGGACTACTTGTACACACGAATCAAGGTTACAAGGACATCGTGTCTTCTGGATGAATACGCAAAAGTTCTATTCTGCGCACTGAAGTTTTGAAGGCTGTTGTTGGAACACATCCTGTCCTCAAAGAAGGGTGTGCATGGAACTACCTCAGTGTATCCAGAATTTGCGATTCCCTGGTGTCTAGAGAGGAAATGTTTTATCTTCTCTGAGGCAAAGACATGAATGAGGAGCAGTCTCTCTCTCTCTCTCTTAACGTTCATATCAACAATGAAGAACAATTTTAAGATATACGGTGTTTCCTCAAAAATAAGACCAGGTCTTGCTCCAAAAGAGGCATTAGGGCTTATTTTCTGGTTAGGTCTTATTTGGGGAGAAACAGGGTATTATGCGGATTACTAGTCCATGTAAACATGGCTGCTGATAAAAACTGGGAAAGGACAGCCAGAGAGACTCCTGTCTTTTTTTTTTTTTTAAAGAAATACATAGTTTTTTTAATGCTATTTAGATTTTGAGTGCTGGACGTACAAGTGCAGAATCTTTTTGGAGAGGCTGGTCACTTGGGAGATTCAGCTCCTCTTTTCGTTTTGGTTTGAGTTCAGTCAAGACGGAAATAAATAATCTGGATTGCAGGAACTTGATTCGTAGGAACCTTCCTTGAAGAAAGTGCGAGTTTTGCTAAATAAATAATCTGACTAGTAGATTAATGGCGGCAGCATTGAAAGGGTCCGGATTTGTTTTCCCAGAGAGCCACCAGTTGTGGGAGGCTACATATATCTCTCAGGACAGATGTTTCTGCAGCCAAATTAAAACAAAACAAACCACAGATGTTTTGGTTGCCAAGGTCGGTTTTCAAATAGAAGTCTGCAAACAACTTGAAAGAGCTAATTCACAGATACTGTCAACGTGAAAAGAACAAACTTCATGATTGCAGGCTAGAATATTATCGTTGCCGTTTTCAAGGACATCATTTTTTCCTAGCAAATGGGAATTTTTAAAAAAAATAGATACTCGGTTAACGCATTCATTGATGCAAGCCTCCTGTTTTGCACCAGTTCTGCCGAAAAAGAAAACTGGAAAATTTGCAAGAGCCGAACGAGGGCAAGCCACTCTATTTAATATCAATAGCTTTCTGCTTGAATGATAGAGGAGATGGTCGAAAGCGTGAAGGATTTCTGGCTCTGTTAGAAAGGATTTGCTCAGCCAATGTGAATTCAATCAGAACTTTGGGTCTTTCATGTCCAAGGAAAACATTCATTCCAACGGGCTTCATTAATTTGTCTTTGGTTTGTTAGCTTCTTGGGGAGATGCAACCACAAACTGAATTATATGCCAGCAAAAATACACTTATTGGATAGAGCTGCAGGGCCTGCTTCGAATTGTTTTTAATTCTCCTCTGCTCCCAAAAAAAAACTTTTCAGAGCACACAACTCATACACCATGTTTCCCCAAAAATAAGACCTCACCCGAAAATAAGCCCTCCCCTGAATATAAGCCCTTCCCCAAAAATAAGACCTCAAAAAAATATTTAAACACATACGCAGCCAGTCCCCGTTATTTCCTCTGGTTAGGGTTAGGGAGACAGAGCTAAAAATCAGGTAAGACAGCAATAGGAGCCCCATCTTGCTCCACATGCCCCAAAATAATAAGACCTCCCCGAAAATAAAGCCAAGCGCTTATTTCAGGGTTCAAAAAAATATAAGACAGGGTCTTATTTTCGGGAAAACGGTAGTTACCACAAATCAACCAATGTGAGGGGAAGGGAGTTCATAGGCAAGACTGGAATTTTGGAGAGATCTGTTACGAGCACTTTTATTTTAAGCAAATCTCATTTTTGTACTCGCAATCGTGTGAGTCATTCTATCTCGATTCTTGAGCCTTTCTTTTAAAAAAAAAACAACAACATTGGATGTATTTCTGACGACCGGTTTCCTGTGGAATCTGTGGCCATCAATGTTGCTAAAAAAGACAGAACGCGTCTTTTGGTTTGCAGAGGGATTTCCCCCCTAATAGTTGCTTGCTAAATGGAATGTGTGTGTTTTTTCTTTCTTTCTTTCTTTGACAGCTGTGGACTTTTTTAACCAGATCAACATGCTTTATGGGACAATTACGGACTTCTGCACAGAGGAGAGCTGTCCAGTGATGTCTGCCGGGCCAAAGTAAGAACGTCAGCCATGCTTACAAACTAGGAGAAACCAAATATCAGCCTTTTCCCATTTTATCATTGAAAATACTCTAATCTAGAAAACAATTTTGTGTTTCTCATGGTTACCTCTTAAAAGACGGTGAAGCCTGGAATTTTTGTTGTCTCCAGAAGTGATGTGTATGTCGGGCGAGGGGGGTTGTTCTATATTTGTGTACTATATTGTGTAGTCTTCCTGACATTTGCTGGGTGTGGGTGGGATGGAACAAGACACTTTGTGCCAAGAACGGCACCCAGCCTTCCATCTCTTTGAGAGAGCAACTTATTCTTATCTTAAAAGGGAGAAAAGTCCTATTGGCCTTGTTTGGGGGCCACCCCAAATCAAATACTCATATCCAAGCCCCCCCCCAAAAGCACGACAATGTAAATGGGGGGAGGGAATTATGGCCCCTTTATGACTTGTGGACTTCAGCTCCCAGAATTCTCCAGTCAGCCATTTTAAGACTCACGGACTTCAACTCCCAGAATTCCTGAGCCAGCCATGGTTGGCTCAGGAATTCTGGGAGTTGAAGTCCACGAGTCTTGAAATGGCTGACTGGAGAATTCTCGGAGCTGAAGTCCACAAGTCATAAAGGGGCCATAGTTCCCCACCCCTGAGGTAAATGGAGACCTTTTACTTTTACTTTTACTTTACTTTATTTTGGATTTATATACCGCCCTACTCCCGAAGGACTCAGGGCGGTGAACAGCCAAAGGATAAAACACACATAATACAAAATTTAAAAAACAATATAAAAACACATTAAATAATTTGGCCAACACATATTAAAACACCCCCATTGTTTTAAAACAAATTTAAAATTAACATTTAAAAGGAAGGTAGGCCAGGCCAGCCTGAAGTATAAAATAAAAAGGTCTTGAGGGCACGGCGGAAAGTGCGTAAATCCGGGATCCTCCGTATCTCCGGGGGGAGCTCGTTCTAAATGTCAGGTGCCCCCACAGAGAAGGCTCTCCCCCTGGGGGCCGCCAGTCGACACTGACCGACGGCACCCTGAGGAGCCCCTCTCTATGGGAGCATACTGGCCGGTGAGAGGCTACTGGTGGCTGAAGGCGGTCTCGTAAGTACCCAGGTCCTAAGCCATGGAGCACTCTAAAGGTGGTAACCAAGACCTTGAAGCGCACCCGGAAGACCACTGGGAGCCAGTGCAGCTCGCCCAGGAGAGGTGTTACATGGGAACGCCACGTCGCTCCCATAACCACCTGCGCGGCCGCATTCTGGACCAGTTGGAGCCTCCGGGTGCTCCTCAAGGGGAGCCCCATGTAGAGAGCATTACAGTAGTCCAGGCGGGAAGTGACGAGGGCATGAGTGACCTATGGTTATTTGAAAGGAACCTATTTCACTTTCCTTCCATTCCAGATATGAATATCATTGGGCAGATGGGACAAACATCAAGAAGCCAATAAAGTGCTCGGCACCAAAGTACATCGATTACCTTATGACTTGGGTTCAGGATCAGCTGGACGATGAGACGCTGTTTCCATCCAAAATAGGTAACTCTGAAATGAGGGCTTAGGCACTACGCTAGCTTAAAAGTGGGGTGGTCATTTATGTTATTTCTGAAAGTACGGAAGGAAACAAAAACATCAGGCAGGGGGAAAAAATACAAACTTCTGAAGAATACAGAATAACAAGAGTTGGAAGGGACCTTGGAGGTCTTCTAGTCCAACCCTCTGCTCAAGCAGGAGACCCTACCACTTCAGACAAGTGGTTGTCCAATCTCTTCCTAAAAACCTCCAGTGTTGGAGCATTCACAACCTCTAGAGGCAAATCGTTCCACTGATGAATTGTTCTGACTGTCAGGAAATTCCTGCTTAGTTCTCAGTTGCTTCTCTCCTTGATTAATTTCCATCCATTGCTTCTTGTCCTGCCTTCAGGTGCTTTGGAGAACAGGTTGGGCCCCTTTTCTTTGTGGCAATACCTTAGATTATGGGTGTCAAACTCAAGGTCTGGGGATCCGGCCCATGGGGTGCTTAGATCTGGCCCATGGGGCCACCCTGGAAACAGTGAAGGACCAGCCGGTCACATGACATCACAGAGTTTCACAGGGAGGGGGGGAAACAGGGTCATAATTGGAGCGTAAATTACTTACATAGGGTCAGAGCTGGCTTCAGAGACTCGTGATTTAATTATGACAGTGAATGTACCAAGTCTTTTCACACCAACTTCAAAGGTTTCTCCCCTAAATGGCCTGTGATCATCCAGTCCAAAGGTGTCTGAATCATGGAAACGACCAAATTTAGTTAATCTGAGACTTTTTGTTGCTCATCCAAGCAATTTCACCAATCAGAGCAAAATTACTTAGGCAGTGAGTCAGAGACTCATTGGAACGTACCAAGTTCAGGGGTTTTCTCCCCAAAATGTCTTACAATATGTCAATGAAGACTCAAATCATCCAGGCCAAAGGTGAATCATGGCAATTGGACCAATCTTGGTTAATCTGAGACGTTTCGTTGTTCAGCCAAGCAACTTTGAATGCTTTTGAGAATTCCCAGGGATCTATGCTAATTGGAGAATTCTGAGAATTGTTTTCTCAGTGTACCAGGTTGAAGAAGAATTTGTCCATTTCATTCAGGTCAGACACTTAAATAAATCTGCTGGATACTGTGTTTCCCTCAAAATAAGATCGGGTCTTATATTAATTTTTGCTCCAAAGGATGCATTATGGCTTATTTTCCGCTTAGGTCTTATTTTGGGGGGGAAATACAGTACTAAATGCCTCCGTCTGCTGACGATCTTAACTGGGGCTTATTTTGGGGGGTAGGGCTTATATTACGAGCATCCTGAAAAATCATGCTAGGCCTTATTTTCCAGTTGGGTCTTATTTTCGGGGAAACGGGGTAGTTTAAATATTTTTTTCTGGGACAAACCTTGGACAGTGCTTTTCCAATGAGCCTGGCCCTCACATTCTTGTAAAGGGGGTAATTGTTTGGGTAGAATCAGCATGATTTCCCTTTTGCTTGATTTCTAGGTGTTCCCTTCCCAAAGAATTTCATGTCGGTAGCTAAGACCATCTTGAAGCGTCTCTTCAGAGTTTATGCTCACATATACCACCAGCACTTTGATCCGGTGATCCAGCTTCAAGAAGAAGCTCATCTCAACACGTCCTTCAAGCACTTTATCTTTTTTGTTCAGGTAAACAAAACACAGCAATTCAATGGCTGTGATTTAATTTTGTAGGTACAAAATGATTCTTGGAGCTTTCTGCCATCTTAAGGGGAAAACTGTCACTGCGTTTTTGTATTTACCAGATGAGCTCTGACAGAAACATCTTGGAATTTTCAGTCACTTAAAAACAATTTACCAGAATCTTGACTTTGTTGCTGTGCCACACTCGCATCACCTTAATTATTTAAATTCTGTGCCGCAGAATCGGGCACTTCTAAAAAAAAATGCAGATCTAAAATTGGTAAAAGTAAAGGTTCCCCTCGCACATATGTGCTAGTCGTTCCTGACTCTAGGGGGCGGTGCTCATCTCCGTTTCAAAGCCGAAGAGCCAGCGCTGTCCGAAGACGTCTCTGTGGTCATGTGGCCAGCATGACTCAATGCCAAAGGCGCATGGAACGCTGTTACCTTCCCACCAAAGGTGGTCCCTATTTTTCTACTTGCATTTTTTATGTGCTTTCGAACTGCTAAGTAGGCAGAAGCTGGAACAAGTAACGGGAGCTCACCCCGTTACGCAGCACTAGGGATTCGAACTGCTGAACTGCAGACCTTTCGATCGACAAGCTCAGCATCTTAGCCACTGAGCCACCTCATCCCTAAAATAAAATACGTATATGCATAAAGATAATGAAAGCAGGAAGTGATAATCCTGCAGTAATAATCAGTCTTATTTCATCAACCATGGGATGAGAATTGAATTTGCAGTTCCACAACAGAAGTTGAAATGTTTAGGATTTGACATATGGAAACATCCATCTTGCGAATACAAAATGTTTTGTTAGTAGAACATCAAACCGAGAATGAACCTAAATACCAGATGCTCCACATATTGTAAAGTATAATGTAATACAACGAAGCAGTGTTGATAGTTTACAATTGCACATTTCTGCCTATAGTGGCAGGATGGATTAGATTTAAATCATTACTTAGAAAACTCAGTTTAATTATTAAAATTATAATTCATTCCTTCAGGAACATTCTATAGTATATAATACAATTTTTAAACATTTCTGGCAGTATTTACTACTTCCTTTTCATCAGTTTTTCCCCCTTTGGTATTGATATTTATAGCATGCATTTTAATTCCGCTGTTTGATTTATTGCCACTGTTCCCCTGCAGATCTTTGAAATATTAAAACTGCATTTATTCAGAACGTGACACATTTTCTTCTCAAAATTCACCAATAGTTGTTCTATAATTATCATTCCCTGCAGTGTAACATGCAACCATCACAACGTATGGATTTCTACTTTCATGTACAATGACAACAGACTAAATTACATCCATTTATATTTTCTAACATGTATTTTAGCTCTTTCATTTGTAATTTAAAAACTGTACCTTGACTTTTCTGCATATAACTTCCGTTCCCTAAGATGAAACCACCCCATTCAGAGTTAATACATCCTTCCCTTTTCCCTTCATAGACACACAGCAGATCTCTTTTTCTTTTATTTGTAAATTCATACAGTTTTGGGAGCTTCATCACTGGAAGCTTTCAAGAAGAAACTGGACTGCCGTCTGTCAGAAATGGTGTAGGGTCTCCTGCTTGGGCCCCCCTTCCAACGCTGTTAATCTGTTATATGTTTTATATTCCCAAACTCAGTCATTTCAGTGCTGAGGTTGTCACCATAATGGGACCATGGACAGTGACCTCTGTTGCCCATCATGCCTTGAACAATTGAGTCTTTCACTTAACTTTTTTTTTTAGATAGATAACCTTTTTTGCCACTTTTTTCTGTGAACACAATGGCACACGTTAAAGAATGAAATTTTGATGCCCGCTGTCAAAAGGAAAATAAATATATACCCATATATCCATACCCATACCCATATGTGTGTGTGTGTGGTGCAGTGGCCTAGAGGTGGACCTCTCGCCTCACAATCAGGAGGCTGTGAGTTCGATCCTAGGTAGAGGCAGATATTTCCCTCTCTGGGCGCACTGAGAATATATCTGCTGAAAAAAAAAACCTCATTGGTGACAGGAAGGACATCCAGCCTCTAACCACTCAGCTCCATTCAGTTGCCCAGACTCCAACCCGCTTAGGATTATGGGGTCGTTAATTATATCATCATATCATATATCATGTCATCTACATACACACATAATAAATATACACAACATACATATCCATGCTTGTGTATCTCCATGAGGTAAATTCTGGTTATCTGTGCATGCCGCAAGAGATGGGTAAAGTACATTCCTGAGAAGCAGGACTTTCTGTAGAAAGTTCATTTCTTTCTTCCTAGGGAGGCCTGTTTTTTTCCTCCCTAATCTCCCCCATAAACTGATTTTTGCTTTCAGTGATGTTAATATTTTTCCCTTAAGCATCCGATTGAGACGCTGCTTTTGTTTCTTCCTCCCACAGGAATTTAACCTTATAGACAGACGAGAACTTGCTCCGCTCCAAGAACTGATTGAAAAACTCACTTCCAAGGACAGATAAGCAGAAAATGAAGTGGTGGAAATCCAGTTGGTTTTCTTTAAAGCAGGCATGTGGGGTTTTTAGGGATTTGGGCTGAAATTCTCTGCGCACTTAAAAGTTCCACGGGACTTTAACTCCCGAGTAAGTGTGTGGAGGAGGTTTGCAACCTTACATTTGTTTGTTTTTAGAAAGGAAAGGAAACTTCTGTTTTAATTCAGGCAACCTAGATCCATTCTCTGTGCTTTTTATTTGTGAAACAAACCTCTTTCACTTAGTGAGATATATATATATACACACACACACACACACAGTAAATGGTTTTCTGTTCTTGTTCATTGTTAATGTTGATTTTTAGCAGATTGTTGTGTGTTAATAAAGGAAAAAAGACATGCTTGTTGGGGAAATGTGACATTGCTAGTTGGAAAATGCAGGATTGCCAGTCGTACAACGTTCTCAGAAGGTCCTTTAAAAGAGACTTAATCTTCTCTAAGTGCCTTGGTAGATTCTCTTCTGAGGCACAAAGCACATACAAAGAACATTGCTGGAAACAGAAAACACAAATAGCTACCCAGGACATTTATTAAGACTTGTTATATGTAATTAATCAGTGCAAACCTTTTCTAAAAGCCATAAGGTCTGTCAGTGATCTCCAATCTTTTAAAGAGAAAGCAATGATTTTATAGAAGTGAACATAAGTTAGGGAAGAGAAGTCAGCGAGTGGCTCACTTTTTTTTTTTTTTTTTTTTTTAATAACCTACTGAGGTATCCACCTGGTACATCTTCGATATTGTAGGGGGCCAAGAATAATTCTGGGTACACCACTTTTCCACAATTTACATTCTGCCAAGATTTGAACTCATTTTGATCGGAAAGTCGGATTATTATTTTTTTCTCAAATCTGTGCTTTTATCAAACTGAACCCTAAACTTTCCCGCCCTTTAAATCACGAGTCCCACAGTGGCTTCACGACAAAATAAAAGGGAAGTAGCATTAAATCCAAAATCTCCCATTTTTAAAATTTTTCGGAATGTCATACATTTTGTCTGTTTTGCCACCGTTTCCATGGATTGACTGACACACAAATTACTCCACGTATCCTTAAATCCTAATCTTGAAGCTCACTTCTCAGATTATTATTAGGATTAGCTACAAATCACATGAACATGTGCTATGTGACAATATAATAATATCTAAAGTCCATTATTGATACCTTAAAGTCTAATATACACAACAGTTTCTCATAGTTTTTTTTTATTATATCTTTGAGATTATATACATACCTTTTAAGAACTGAATTGATAAAAGGCATACAGGATGTTCTTTCCCTGAGAAGTAGACAATTAAAATTAGTCACATGAGGAAAAACGAAACAAATTACTATTACATCGTCTAGCTATACTCTTGTCCCTTATAACCTGATAGCCATTAATAACAATAGTTCTTCCTATGGATCTACTAAAAAAAGTGAGTGTGGTAATCAAAATCTTGGCAATGTTTCATAACCAGGTTTGATCTTGGTGTTCGTAACACGTTTTGTCAATATTTGATTTTAGAAGTCAGATTCCCAGTCCCAATTTCTGAATCTCAAATTTGAAAGTTTGAATTGCTAACTGAAAACTTTTTTGTTCACAGTTGGGATGTTGAAAACAGTTTAGAGGTTGGGACCGTTATGAGCCATTTTAAATATCCCCAACCTCCATCTGGCAATTTTAACCACTCCTAAAAGATATCTGTTAAAAATAAGAGGGGAAATTTCAAGATCTTTGGATCTTGAAATGAATAAGACTTCAGAATGTTTAATTAGAATCAATATAGCTTGGCCATAATAATCATCTCCCATCATTTTAGTCTTTAAAATTTAAGGGACTTACTGGAAACAATGATGACAAATATAGATTCCATTCATTGCTAATTTCCTTCTTGGATGATAAACACTTGGAGATCATTGACTAAGAGTGCTGTTGGGTCAACTCTTATTGCATTGAAGACTGAAAAATTGACAATATCAGGACCGTGATTATTCTGAATTTGATCAGCACTATAGAAGCTTTTAGTGGGATTGCTCCGACGGTCTTAAAAATTCTTTATTGTTTAAAAGTGTGTTGTGATACAAACAGAAAGAGTTTCCTTGATCTTTCAGTTGAATACAGGTATTGAAAACTGAACACTGTAGTTATTATTAAAAAAAAGAAAGTCACAGTCTGGAATCTAGCCTTTTCATTTAAAAGGACAGCATGGTAGAAATCATAGATACCTTTTTGATACCAAACATAAGGCAGAAACTTATTATTAATTTTTTTTTCCTTATGGCCAGCCGTTTAACAAACACTGTGTTCCTTCCATGGAGAAGGAATAGCCTTAAAATGTCAGAACTGGCTTCATTCTCTGTTTCACCTGTCAGTGTTCTCTCTTGTCTTGGTTACCCACCTGCACAGGTAACAAACCTTAATTAGATGAGGCTGACCAAGCCCTATGGTCATAAGCATAGATGCAAGTTCCTTAAAACAGCTGTGTTGTGTTTTCTTGAGCCAGTGGATTGATTTAATCCAGAGAATTGACGTTGGTGGGAGAAAGGTTTTTATCATCCTGGCCTCTAGAAATTATAAGCCTAACTTCACACATCCATGTCAGGGATGCGTGCTAATTGTGCAAGGATAAAAGTACCTTATTTTTTGTCCAGCAGTAGTAAAGTGAGCTTTAAAGAGAGAACCTTCAAAAGGAAAATCCCCCCTTTTTCAACCGCTTGCCAACATTTCTTTAACAGCTTACTATGCAAGAGAGAATTTTGAATATTCACTGGTAATCTTATAGAACCAGAGGCTCCATTAAGAATTTAGAGTTGACACCACTCTCTCAAACTTATCCCATAGGCAAAAAGCTAATGCTGCTATAGACTGGTCTTATTTTTATTTTTATTTTTAATTCCCATGACTGAAAGCCTTTTCTTAGATTTCCATATAAAGATTATTTTTCTGAGGGGGGAGGGGTGCGAAGTGTGTGCGTGTGTGTGTGTGTTGATTTATTTGGGAAATAATTTAAGACATGTATTCTTTCCCCCAAATATTAAAGTGTAAGTGAAATGCCAGAATTCCTATTTTAAAAGTGTAATATCACGTCAGACCTGTCAGTTTTTTTCAACCGCAATGCTCTCATATTACTTGATGCATTTTATGCAGGGAAGGGGTGGGGGGATAAATTTCATTTCTTAATAGGCAAAAAAAAAATATTTCCTAAAACTGCATTTCTAGAACCACTAGCCACGTTAGAGGTATATTTCCATTTATGTCTATTGCACATGTGTGTTTCCTTTTTAAAACATAATTCTCTCCTGCGGTAGCAGAATAACTCCAGTTTCAAGATGCTTTATTTTGCTTTATTTTCTTTCCCAAGAGCACTGTCCTTTCAATAGTTTTTTCATAGATTAATGTATTTTTAGGGAAAATTAATTTTTTATAGCCACTAAACTGTACTCATTATTTTTGTACACTTATTACTAGGTTATTTGGAACACAAATCTTTTGAAATGTCATTTGGTTCCATTTTTGAATTTACTCACTGATGTCGTGTTGCTAAATATTGTCACGAGAATCAATGCTTTCGAATACGTAGCGAGGGGGAAAACAGATTTGAGAAGAAACTATTGCTGGTCCCTTCCGGTACCTAGATAGATCTACTCAGGTCCTTCTTCATGCAGCATATTAGAAAAACATAGGAACAATTTTTTCTGTGCTCTCTTGGTGAAGAGTAGAGAAAGATCCCAGCCATTCCTTTAATTATAGCCTTCGAAAAGGATCTATTGTAGCAATGGCTTCTTTGTCTGATCGAAAGAATCTACAACCAGCAGAATCAACTCGAAGCTTTTCTGAACTTGCATCTCTCTGGACAACTGAAAATTTGAACAGATTTGTGGAGACGCGGAAAGTTTTTGGTTAACATTCCAAGTTTCCACCGAGGAAACGTAAATTACGTGGGCAAAATCCTGCAGCCTTGGAAAAGCCATTTGACTCTGCTGATGAAATTAAGGGAGTTCCTGTGTGCTAGAATTTATGCTGCATTAGGGATGGAAATTTGACCTTCCTCAGTTGACACCCTCTCTATTAAAAGAAAAAAATAGGTAGCTACTTATCAGAGAGGAAAAGGTAACAGCCAATGCTGGACACACACACACACAAAATCATTTAAAAATTAAAAAATGCAACGTAATCTGTACTGTAAGCAAACTGTGCCAATATATTACTTCAGTTTGTAGTCTCTTAAATCAGTACTTGTTCTACCTGAAAAATGGCTTTTTAATGAAAAAATGATAAAAAAAAAAATAAAAGTTGGATGTCTGAAATTCTGCAACACATATATTGGAAAAGATGTAAATAATGTATACATATTGTTGTAAGTGATGGGATGAAAAAAAAACTATATAAATTCTAGGCTTTTTCAGTAAGGAAAATGGATGCTGTTTATAAGAAGAAAAATAAATAGCTATGTTTGACACGACTGCTTTTTTTCTCCCCCTTCTCATATTTATAGTTTTTAATAGATGAGATTCATATGTCTCTGTACATTGTGCACATCTGATCATTCCTCCATAGGTGTACTGCGGTCGCCTCACATGGATTTGTTACCTGTTTGTACTGCGAGCAAGACAAATGGCAATAAAATGAACCCATGTTCATCCAGTTCCTTCACTCAGGTTACCAAAAGATTGATGAAGTTTTTGTATAAGGGGTAAGGCTACTGGAAAGGAGGTTGTGTGGTTGTTTTTGGCTAAACATAATAGACCCGTACTAGAGTGGTGCGGTGGCCTAGAGGTGGAGCTCTCACCTCACAACCAGGAGGCTGTGAGTTCGATCCTAGGTAGAGGCAGATATTTCTCTCTCTGGGCACATTGAGAATTCAGTGGTGGGATTCAGCCGGTTCTGTCCGGATCATGCGAACTGGTAGTGATGACTGCGGGAGGCTCCGCCCACCTGCCCGGATGTAATGCTCGACTACTGCACATGCGCAGAAGGCCGTGTGCATGCATAAAGGTGGCACGTGCGCTCACATTTGCGAACCGGTAGGCAAGGTAAGTGAATCCCACCTCTGGAATATATCTGCTGAATATAACTCCGTATTGGTGACAGGCAAGGCATCCGGCCAGTAAACACTCAGCTCCATTCAGTTGCCCAGACTCCATCCCGCAAGGGATTATGGGGTCGTTAAAAGATGATGAAGAAGAAGATAACAGGCCCGTACTTGAACCTCATTCATTTTTGATAACGATTGGATTTTTTTTATCCAGTATACATGGAATACTTTCACTTTTGATTTGGAACCAGATTTCAATAACATTTAGAATAAAAGTTTTGGTAGAATTCCTCATTATCCTTCCATGATGATGATGATGATTCTTGCCCCAGCTAGTTCTACCTGGATTAAACAGCCCCATTTACAAGATACAATACAAGAATCAACACTTTTTGGGTTGAGTCTGAACCACTCCAAATTCAAGACATTTTACATATTTCTAGTATGTATGTGGGTGTATCCCAGGGGTGAAATCCAGCAGGTTCTGACAGATTCTGGAGAACCAGTAGTGGAAATTTTGAGTAGTTCGAAGAACCGGTAGCAGAAATTTTGAGTAGTTTGGAGAACTGGCAAATACCACCTCTGGCTGGTCCCAAAGTGGGGGGGGGGAATGGGGATTTTGCAGTATCCTTCTCCTGGAGTGGGGTGGAAATGGAGATCTTGCAATATCCTTCCCCTGCCACACCTACCAAGCCACGCCTACCAAGCCACACCACGTCCACAGAACCCGTAGTAAAAAAAATTAGAATTTCACCACTGGTGTGTCCTCAGGCCTGGGAAGATGGATGATAGAGTTGACTGCATGACTACATTAAAGAACCCTAAACCTTCCCCAAATCATTTGCTAAGGGGGACACACACACACACAAACCCTGTTAATTACAGGTACTCCTCGACTTAACCATCATTCATTTAGTGATTGTTCGTTGTACTGAAACAAACTATTTGTGACCATTTTTCACACTTATGGCTGTTGTAGCATCCCCATGAACACGTAATCAACATTTGGACACATGGCAACTGGTTTTTACTAACTTAACAACGGTAACGATTCACTTAACAATTGTGGCAAGAAAAATCGCAACATGGCAAATCTCACTTAACAACTGTCTTGCTTAGCAACGGAAATTTGGGGCTCAATTCTGGTTGTAAGTCGAGAACCACTTTTATGTGCCATCATCATGGCAAATTTCACAGAGGGAAGTATGCCTCCATAATCGTTCAGGTAAAAGTATCAGTTCATCTCTTCTAGAGAAAAATAAATTTGATCCTCCTACTTACCCCTTTCCACTTCTCTCTTCATTCAAATTGCAGTTTTCCTTATTTGATTTTTATCCTGCCTTTATTACTTTATAAATGCCTTGGTCAGGACAAGATGGACTCCTGGATTATTATTATTATGATGATTGGTTGCGCAGTCAGTCAGATTAGATTTGGCATTTTTGTCCATCTCTTGAGTTTGAGAAGGATTTGGGATAGGTAGATATTGATATTTTTCAACATATTTCTCCGGTAATATTGCAAACTAGTGCATACAAAACCTTTGCTAGACCAATTCTCGAATACAGCTCATCTGCCTGGAACCCGCACTGGATTATCGGACATTAATACAATTGAGCGAGTCCAGAGGTATTTCACAAGAAGAGTCCTCCACTACTCTGCTCACAACAAAATACCTTATGCCACTAGGCTTGAAATTTTGGGTTTAGGAAATTTAGAACTACCCCGCCTTCAGTCTGACCTAAGCGTAGTACACAAAATTATCTGCTACAACGTCCTACCTGTCAATGACTACTTCAGCTTCATCCGCAATAATACACAAGCACACAATAGATACAAACTTAAGGTAAACCGCTCCAAACTCGATTGCAGAAAATACGACTTCAGCAACAGAATGGTCAATGCCTGGAATGCACTACCTGACTCCTTAATTACTTCCCTAAACCCCCAAAATTTTAACCTTAGACTGTCTACTGTTGACCTCACCCCATTCCTAAGAGGTCTGTAAGAGGTGTTCATAAGCGCACAAACATGCCTACCATCCCTGTCCTACTGTCCCCATTTATTCATATCCTTATCCTGTATTCATAATCATGTTTATCTGTTACCTTACATGTATTTGACAAATAAAATAAAATAAACATGCTGGTTGGGGAATTCTGGGAGTTGATGTCCCCCCATCTTAAAGTTGCCACTTGAGAAACACTAGAGATATTATTGTTTGATAAAATCAAAGGTATTATTACAGGGTGCTATTATTTCCTCCACTATCCCAGTCTGAGGCTTTAATAATACTGCTTAGCAAGACAGAGGAGGGATACTACATTCCCCACCAGTGATATTGCCAATAATGACCAGTTTGGAACCCTGATGAGGTTGGCTAGGAGACAAACTCAACTCAAACCCAGTTTCTCTGCAACATTCTCATGCTGAAGGAAGCCAGCATCTGTTGTGGCCTACGAGCGGCCTGCGCGGATCGTGGCTGATCCCGATGAAGAGGAGGCTGGTGTGATGTCGCACCAGCAGCCTGCACAGCCAGCGCTCACGTCGGACAGCGAGGAGGCTGAAGAGGATGTGGTGCCAGAGGCAGAGACTCAGCCAGGGCCTTCAGAACCTCCAGAGGCTCCTTCAAGTGGAGAGAGCGAAGTGGAGGAGCCTCTCCTCAATGCTCGAGCACGCAGGGCTGCCAAAAGGCAGGAGTGGCTACTCAGGAAGAGGAGGTCTACTTGAGAGTAGGGCTTGAGGATAATTGGCCACTCCCTTAGCCTATTTAAGTCGCACACAGCTAGTGCTTTCTTGCTGGAAACAACTCTTATTTATAATCAGAGTATTTTGGTTTATCATATCTTGCTTTCTGGGCTGGTTGCCAACCTTTGCCGGTCTTATTTATTCTTGCTACTTAATAAATTTGATAAGGACCGTTGGTGTGTGTCAATATCCTCGGAAATCCGGAGCTGGGACAGAACAGCATCACACTCCCCGAGACAGAATTTTTTCAACCTTGGCATCTTTTGGGAATGTTGAAGTCTATAGATATTTAAAATTTCCCTGGGAAGTCTATGAATTGCATTGACATGAGTTGGTCCATGGACGTGGTGGAAACAAAAACACACACTATATGTGCAGTTTCTCCTTCGCAATGGATGCAAAGTTTTGTTCTTTAAATAAATTTAATTAATTTTCTATTAATTAATAAGAGCCTTGGTAGTACAGTGGTCTAAGGCACCCTGTTATTAAGCTGGTTATTAAGACCAGCTCCCTGCAATTACTGCAGGTTCGAATCTCACCAAGGCTCAAGGTTGACTCAGCCTTCCATCCTTTCTAAGGTAGGTAAATTGAGGACCCAGTTTGTGGGGGCAATAAGCTGACTTTGTATAAATATACAAAAGAATGAAGGCTATTGCTTAGCGCATTGTAAGCCGCCCTGAGTCTCCGGAGAAGGGCGGCATATAAATCTAAATAAAAATAAAAAAATAAAATAAAATTACATTTCTTAGTGCTTAATAAACGTGTTGTCTGGGTATTTAATTTGCTTAACAATACAGATTCCCTTCTTACTCTTCAGCCCTTTTTCCCAACCACTGGTAAAATAAGTTTCAAGTTTGATAATATTCTGTTTTGTTTCTGTTTGATTTTCAATATAAGTCTGTCCATTTCTGCACAGAAAATCTTAATTATTTCTTCATCTTGAGATGTTTCATCTTTCCAATATAATCCTCGCTGCTGTTAAAACGTGATACTAAATACATATACTTTTATCATTTTTTCTGATATTATTCTTAATAAAATCTACATGTTTCCCTATTATCTTTTCTAGCCATCTGTGTATTTTTGCCCAAATTGTTTTTGTTTTATTTTGTTTTAGCACAAGTCCACCACAAATGATAAAATGTGCCCATCTTGATTACGGTACATAGACACAAAGTAGACATAATAATGATTTAAAAAAAAAAAACATCTTGTTTTGCAGGGAATTAATTTTGTCCGGGATGGAAAGGGTGGCTGTTGCCAAGCAACCCCATGAAAACTGATCGATCGATGCGCTCGGAGCTCCCACTGCCTCCCTTTCCGGCTGAATCCGTTTTTTCGGCGTTCGATTAAGCTTCCCTTTTTCTCTTAAAGCCGGCATCGGCGCCTGGCTGGCGAGTCCGCATCTGGCAACGTTTGGGCTCTTTACTGCTAAACCGCGCTCTAAGCTTAGACGGGGAGGGCGTTCGCGTTTACACCTCACCTTTTCTGTCCCTCTCGGGCCCCTGTAGCGGAGCCACACAGAAGAAGGTAGCGTGACAACTAAGGCTCAAGCGAGGGTGGGGGGAGGACGCGCGGAAACTGGGCCAGGTGGGTGGAGCTTTTTGCGTGACGTCACTGGGCGGCGCCAGATTCGAAAGCCGGCGGGGAGGATAAGCGGCGTTTAGCGTTAGAGCCGGCGAAGTGCGTTCCCGCGCTTTTTTTTTTTTTGTCCTTCCTGCGCTGCCGTTTCTTTCTGAGGTAAAAAAGCTCCGTTTGGTTACCGGCCGGCCGTTTCCATGGCAACCCCACCTAAGCGAAGCCGGAGCGGCGTGAAGAAGATCGCCATCGAGGGCAATATAGGTAAGCCCTGAGGGGGTTGGGGGGGGGGCGCAGTGTTCCAGTATTTGAGGGGCTGCCACAGAGGGGGGAGGGGGAGTCAAGCTATTTTCCAAAAGAACCTGAAGGCCAGGCAAGGAATAATGGATGGAAACTGACCAAGGAGAGAGATTCAACCTGGAAATAAGGAATTTTATTCTGTAAAACGAGGACTACCTGTGTCAATTAAAGTGGCCGAATTCAGTTGATGGGTATGTTTGTTCGTGCAGTGGGGCATTTTATTATTGATTTTTATTTATTAAACAAAGTTATACAGCCAACCAACTCATACATAGGTGACTTCAGGTGGCTTACAACATTAAAAAAATCCGCCGTATAATAAACGCCCCTACCTAGACACACACACATACACACAATTTAAAGATGAGCCTTGGTGGCGCAGCAGACTAAAGTGCTATTAAGTAGCACCAGCTGCCTGCAATTACTGCGAGTTCAAATCTCACCAGGCTCAAGGTCGACTCAGCCTTCCATCCTTCCGAGGTAGGTAAAATGAGGACCCGGATTGTGGGGGCAATAAGCTGACTTTGTATAAAAAGGAACACCGCTTGAGGGGGGGGCCAAAAAGCCCTACTAAGCAGGTATATACAAAAGTATGAAGGCTATTGCTTAAAAGCATTGTAAGCCGCCCTGAGTCTCTGGAGAAGGGGGGCATATAAATCGAACCAATAAATAAATAAATTGAAACACAATTTAAAGATTGGAACAAGATAAGATCAGCCAAAGAATAATGGCAAAAATTGTTAAAAACAAAAGTATTAATCAGCCTAAATCAGCTGGACAAGCATCATTCATTTTCTTAAGGGTATCCGTACAAGCTTGATTATGAATGTCAAGGTTTGGGAAATGTTAAAATACGACTATTTTATATTCAGTAGTCTTCAACTTATGTCCACAGTTGAGCCTAACATTTATGTTAAGTGAGACGAGTGAATTTTGCCCTCCTTTTAGAACCTTTCTTGCCAGTTGTTAAGTGAATCACTGCAGTTGTTAAGTTAATAATACGGTTGTTAAGTAAATCTGGCTTCCACGGTTGACTTTGCTTGTCAGAAGGTCACAAAAGGGGATCACATGACTTTGGGACAGAGCAACGGTCAAAAATATGCATCAGATGCCAAGCATCTGAATTTTGATCACGTGACCATGAGGATGCTGTAATGGTTATAAGTGTGAAAAGCAATTGTAAATCACTTTTTTCAGTGCCATTGTAACTGAACGGTACCTAAACGAACTGTTGTAAATCAAGGACTACCTATATTTTGTATATACAGTATAAATATCTAGTCTCCTGGGTATTAAACAAAGGCTAATTTCTGATGCTGTCCTCTGCTGCAGCCCCTGCCCTTTTGAATAGCTTTTCTTTAGAGTTTATCACATTTTTAATCCCATTATAGAGTGGGTTCAAACCCATTTTAGAATGGCCTTGAACCAGTTGGGCTTTAAAAACTCATAACTAGACGCCATAACTAGGCTCAGTGGCTAAGACGCTGAGCTTGTCGATCGAAAGGTCGAAAGTTCAGGGTTCGAATCCCTAGTGCCGCATAATGGGGTGAGCTCCCGTTATTTGTCCGAGCCTCTGCCAACCTAGCAGTTCGAGAGCACGTAAAAAAATGCAAGTAGAAAAACAGGGACCACCTTTGGTGGGAAGGTAACAGTGTTTGGTGAGCCTTTGGCGTTCAGTCATGCCGGCCACATAACCACAGAGACGTCTTCCGACAGCCCTGGCTCTTCAGCTTTGAAACGGAGATGAGCAACGTCCCCAGAGTCAGGAACGACTAGCACACATGTGCAAGGGGAACCTTTACCTTTTACTTTTATGTGCTCAGGCATAGGGCTCCAAATGTATTAAGGGCCCCATTTCTTGGCTTTACTGACAATTATAACAACTTTCTTGGCTGCTGTATATATTTATTTTGTAAGGTTTTTAACTCCTTTAGAATTCTTCGCCATCCCGGAGTTACTTGGTTTGAGGTGGCTGCCTATAGAAATTAAATCAATAAACTATTCCTTTTTCAAACTGGTATAGCGATTTCTAAAGACAAGCCCAGAATCTTAACTGGTTTGATGAGTATCTTCTCTTCCTTTAGCCGCAGGCAAATCTACCTTTGTGAATATTCTCAAAAAAGCCCGAGAGGAATGGGAAGTTGTTCCAGAGCCGGTGGGAAAATGGTGCAACATTCAAGACCGCCACGATGATTGTGAGGTATGATAAATAGCAATTCTATGGAATTGCCCATCATAAGAAATAAATTTTTGAAACAAAACCAAGGAGGGACAAGATACCGCATGCTGCTAGGTTCCCTGTTAGAGAAGTTTTATGACACGGATAGGCAACTCTCAAATGGAAGGGTGTGTCCAGAATTCGAGAACATGTAAATCTATCATTAAAGCCAAGCCAATGTTAATTCTCACGTAATTTTTATGAATGTTTAAACAGGAGCTGACAGCCTCACAAAAGAGTGGTGGAAATCTCCTTCAGATGATGTATGAGAAGCCGGAGCGATGGTCCTTTACTTTTCAAGCCTACGCCTGTCTGAGCAGAATCCGGGCTCAGCTCAAATCCTTTGAAGGGAAACTAAAAGAAGCAGAGAACGCTGTGGTTTTCTTTGAACGATCAGTTTATAGTGACAGGTAACCTGTCTGATTCTTGATAACTGTCTTCTTATGTCACCTCCCCTCAGTTTTGCATCTCATCACATCCTTTCAATTTTTGGAAAAACTGAAAAGCTTTCCTCTTTCCAATCATAGGATTGGTTTTTTGATACTAGTTTAGGTTAAAACAATTCAGATACGTGAAGTTCAACTTCCAGCTTTCTTAGCAATGGCCATTTTAACGGGGGGATTCTGGGAGATGAATTCTAAAGAGTACATACATACTTTGGGAAAGGCTGGACTATGGCTAGACTATAGAAGAGAGAGAAAATATTGAGGGTATAGTCTAGGATGGGCTTCTGTCTTATTTCTTTTTCTATAGCAGGGGTGTCAAATTCAAGGTCTGGGAGCCAGATCCAGGGCCACCCTGGAAACAGCAAAGGACCAGCCTGTGATGCCTCTGCCAACGAAAACAGAGCTTGGGAGTGGCGCATGCAGGCCTCGCTAAGTCCATTTTTGCTGGCAGTGGGTTGAAGGAGGCCATTGTAGCCAAAAACAGCTAATGAGGGCCGCAGGTGGCACTCCCAGGCTCCATTTTCACTGGCAGAGGGTTGCAGGAGGCCGTCGCAGCCGGAAACAGATCTCGGGAGCCCACTTTCGCTGGCAGAGTGCTCAGGCCGCTATAGGCACCCCCGACATGAGTGATGTCGAACTGGCCATGCCCACTCTGGCCACATCCACCCCGGTCCCCCAAGGTCAAGCACAACCCTGATGTGGCCCTCAATGAAATAGAGTTTGACACCTCTGGTCTATAGAGAAGGCAGTATGCACAAAATATATATATTTAGCCTGTATGCATATGCAGGCAGTCCTTGGCTTACAACCACAATTGAGCCCTGTGCTTAGCAAGACGTTTATTAAGTGAGTTTTGCCCCATTTTACGACCTTTCTTGCCACAGTTGTTAAATGTAGTTAAGTTAGTCACGCAGTTGATAAGTGAACCTGGCTTCCTTCTTGACTTTGCTTGTCAGAAGGTCGCAAAAGGTGATCACATGACCCCGGAACACTGCAACCGTCATAAATACAAGTCAATCTGAATTTTGATTATCTGACCGTGGGGATGCTTCAACAGTCGTAAGTGTGAAAAACGGTCTCAAATCACCTTTTTCAGTGATGCTTTAACTTTGAGTGGTCACTAACTGAACTATTGTCCATCAAGGACTACCTGTATAAACTAATTTCAAGTAGCTACCCTTGAATGTTCATGCAGTTGCCAGATCTTAGCTAGGATCCTTTTTTATAGCAGTTTGATTATTCTATTAATTTATATAACCATCCATCTCATAATTGCAACTGGCAGTGAAAAATGCTAACAGTTAAACTGGCCTGTGAGAATGATTTTGTTTTGAGGAACTATATTTTGTTCCAGGTTCCAAAATAAAATGTTTTCCCATCTTAGGATAATTGAAGCTAAATTGAATTATTATTATTTTTTTGAAAGGTACATCTTTGCATCCAATTTATATGAATCTGAGTGTATGAACGAAACAGAGTGGACAATTTATCAAGACTGGCACAGTTGGATGAATCAGCAGTTTGGATCAAGCCTTGAACTGGATGGCATTATTTATCTCCGAGCTACTCCTGAAGTAAGAAACAAAGCTTTATGAATACACTGGACATTAGAGCAGGGGTCCCCAACCAGTGGTGGGATTCCAATTTTTTTACTACCGGTTCTGTGGGCGTGGCTTGGTGGGTGTGGTGTGGCTTGGTGGGCGTGGCAGGGGAAGGATACTGTAAAATCTCCATTTCCTCCCGATCAGCTGGGACTTGGGAGGCAGAGAATAGATGGGGGCGGGGCCAGCCAGAGGTGGTATTTGCCAGTTCTACGAATTACTCAAAATTTCCGCTACCGGTTCTCCAGAACCTGCTGAAACCCACCTCTGTCTCCAAATCCCGGTCCGTGAACCAGCACCGGTCCACGGCATGCCAGCAACTGGGCTGCGCAAAGAAGCGAAGCCCCATCCATGGGATGCAGGCAGCATGTGAAACCCTGCCCCCTCCAATCTGCGGAAAAATCTCTCTTCACAGAACCGGTCCTTGGTACCCAAAAGGTTGAGGGCCACTGTATTAGAGTACAATCCTTTGCAGACTTTTGGTTCTTACCTCATTAATTTTAAAAATATGACAACGATCTTTTAAGTTGTTGTTCTTTTTCTGTCAGAAAAAGGCATTTTGCTTTATTTCAGTTTTGCCTGAAAATCCTACTCCATTCTTGCCTTTTTTTTTCTTTTTTTTCTTTTTTTTAGAAATGCTTGGATAGGATTTACATCCGTGGAAGGGATGAGGAGCAAGGCATTCCTATGGAATATCTGGAGAAACTCCATTACAAACATGAAAACTGGCTCCAGCATAGGACATTACGGTATTTTATTTCCCTGATTTTCTATAGAGATTCTCAGTCGTCCAAGTCATGGTCTTTCCAAAGGTGCTTTTTCAAAAAGCAACTGGATTTTCTTTCGTTTCGTTTTTTTCTTGAAGACACTTCACTTCCGTAATGTCCAGAAACTGAAGAAGCTTCTTGGATGAAAAGCAAAATGTCTTCAAGGAAAAACCAAGAAAGTCCACAGGTGCCTTTTGAAAAAGTACCTTTGGGACTATTTCCCTGATTGTTCCTGCTACATCTATCCGGTGGCATTCTCACAAAAGTGTTTCGCTTTGAGAGATCAACCAATCTGTCCTTTGAACAGAGATGACATTGGGCCCTAAGCAGATATGGAGGCTATCACTGGAAATTGTGTCTTCCCCAGTGAACTAGGGATTTGGGTGGTCCAATCTCAGGATAACAGGGTCGGAAGGGACCTTGAAGGTCTTCTAGTCCAACCCCCTTCTCAGGCAGGAAACCCTACACCAGGCCTGTCAAACTGGTGTCCCGCAGGCCAGATGCATCATGCATAGGCCACACCCACCCCAGCTCTACAAAGGCAAAAACCATCACAATGTCACATGATGCGATCGAGTTTGACACCCATGCCCTACACTATTTGAGACAAACGGTTGTCCGCTTTATAGCCACATGAATTTGTTAGATAAATAGATAAATAACCGCTAGCTGAAATATTTGAGCCAGTGGAAATCATGAGAGACTTTCCATTTCTAAAAATATATCTTATTTTCATTACTGACTAATGTTAAAAGCTCTTTTATGGCTCTTTAATACCGTAATTAGTGTGGCCATTAGGAATTATAGTCCTGGACAATTCTGGCTTTTAAAGACATATTAGCAAAGCGGTGTAGGATTCAAGGTATAATGGAGCTTGCTTCAGAACAGGTGTTATAGGATTTCTGCATATTTCTGAATGAAATTCTTTACCTTTCTTAGGTTTCCAATTCAAATTGCAGTTTTTGTTATTTACAGGACAGAGTTTGAATACTTGCAAAAGGTACCCATTCTAACCCTGGATGTGAATGAAGATTTCAAAGGCAACAGAGACAAACATGAAAATATGATTGAGAAGGTAAAACTTACCAAAGAGGACTACTTTGTATGTTTCCAAGTGACTCTGTTAATAATCAAGAGCTCTGTCCTTCAATGTGTCTATTGAAATCTGCATATCCAGCTAGGGAATTCTGGGAGTTCAGTCTTAAAGTTGCTAAGTTTGACAAACACTGCTTTAGGGCATTGTTCATACACTGTCATAAGATACCAATTGGCATAATATCCTTAAACTCAACCACTAATTAAGCAAATACCCTTAATAAGTGCTTCTGACAGCAGACTCATCTAACAAACCAAGGGTAAATTAAGATCAGATAAATTTTCTGGTTACCATATTTATAGATCCTTAACTATGTGCATATTCAGAATATTCTCAGAACTCAGATCCCACTTTTATTTAGCTGGTCTATTAAACTGCTACTTTCACTCTTTTTATTTTGCAGGTCCAAGAATTTTTAAGTACGTTATAGCATTTCCAGAAGTCTTAACTGAAGCCGAGCGTTCCCAACCATTTGGATCAGTGATTCATTTTATCAATGCTTGATTTTGCTTAACCAGGTTCAACTATATTGGGCAGTTAAATATTGCTACGAGCTGGTTTTCTGTTTGCTGGGTGTCCAGGTTCCTTAGGTGAATGAAGTCTTCACTGGGCATGAACATTTGTTGCCAAAAACAACTGAAGAGGGGACTTGCTGTAACAACCATAACATTCTTTTTATAGCATGAATGAAATAGTCAAATCTACTGTAATTAGCAAAACTTGGAAGATACGTCAAATTTCATCACATACATTTTAATCATCTATATTCCTGCCGGATGATATAGGGCAGCAACTCATTCTCTAATATGCTGAAGATAAAAAGGTTTCCAAGCTTGCATTTTACCCTCAATTATATATTTAAGTAACAAGCAAATTTTTGTAGCTTGATGTAAGTTAGCAAAAAGGCTGTCATAGATGGATCGTAGGTAACCAGAAACAGGTTATTCTAAAGCAGAAGCATTTCCCTTGAGTGTGGATACAATTGACGGGTAAACGGTGAAAGCAGCCTGTCATTCTTTTCTGCATGGGTTGTGATGTTGCATACATATTCAAAAGAGTACAGTTTGCATTGCGATGGTCTAGCATTACTTGGGTCAGGTGGCTAAATTTTTTTGGTCCTGAATCCACCTGTGTTCTCAAGGCAATCCCCTCAGTTTTCTAGCATAGGCTATTGACTTCTTCCTGTAGAATAAAATGCCCGAAGTAAAGCATTTATGACTTCTCGGATTCAAACTTGCTCTTTCCTTCATTTGGAAAGTCATGGCCAAGCTATGCATCAAAGTTACAGGCGTGCCAAACGGAATCACCCAGGTAAATCAGGACTATCAATGACTTCTGCATCGTCCAAAATGTGTGTTTTATTTAATGTTCTCTGCATTAGATTGATCTAAGGCAGGGGTGTCCAACCTTGCAACTTTGGCTGGCTGGGGAATTCTGGGAGTTGAAATCCACAGAAAGTTGCAAGGTTGGACACCCCTCTGGACTAAGGCGTAACTGGCTGCAGCCGATTTGTATTTAGCTGCTTGCTTGCTTCATGTTTTATCGATTTTAACGTACTGCTAAATATTCCACTTAAACTTGGGAGTTGTTCTCTTAAAACACTTGGACCCATTTTATATTGTCATACGAATACTGGAAAGGAACTTCAGGAATAACTGGTTTAACTTATTAATCTCTTTTACCATTTCACTTTTTAAAACTGCAACGCATCAAAATGTGTAGCCCCCTGAAATGGATTTATTCTTACAGGGGTGTCTAGGTATAGTCAAAACGAGTTCATGTTTTTAGCCTCCAAAGATGTACGATGTTTGATCATCTTGGAAACTTTTTTGCTGAAATAAAGGTCGAAAATATCGCATTTCTGTATCATTCATTGTATCAATAAATCTTAATCATGTGTCGATATAATTCTTAGGCTCCAGGCTGGATTTTTGCTGCTTTTTCTTTTTAAAAATGCTAAGATCACAGAACTTTAAAAAAAAAAGAAAAGAAATTTAGGGATATTTTTTTGCTCATATTTCCAGAATATATTCTATACTGAAGCTTCAAACATTGTTGGCTCAGACATTTATAGAATAAAAAAAGTGTTCAAGCTAGAGCAGCAGTCAAGAGTTTTCTGCCAGGTCTGTACCCACGGCAGCTGGTCTGTGCATAAAGTAGCTGTATCACCCAGCAACAGTGCCCATCTACCTCCTACTGAGCCCATAAGCATTCTTTGTATTCATTGTTGCCATTCAAACTGGTTTTACTATCTGCAAAAAGTCCTCTTAAAAGCATATCAGTTGCAAAAAGCATGGATTAAGGAGACCCACCCAGAGCAAGAAAAATCAACCCAATACCTGATTTAAAAAAATCATCATCTCAGTACCTTACCCAGGTGTGCCTGGTGTTATTTCCAAAACAGCCTTTGCATTTCTTGATAAATACTTGATAGAGCTTCAAGGGAATGGTGGGCATAGATAACAGGTGTGAACTCGGTCCCAACGTCCCAATCATGATTCCAAGACTGGATTGGTTGATTTTGGTTTAGCAACTAATGAATCCATAACAAGGTTTATGGAAGGATTACAGGGAGTTTAGGACCACAGCTGAGCCCACAATTTCTGTTGCTAAGCAAGACAGTTGTTAAGTGAGTTCTGCGCCGTTTTACAACCTTTCCTGCCACAGTTGTCGAGTGAAACAATCACTGCAGTTAGTAATACGGTTGTGAAGTGAATCCGGCTTCCCCATTGACTTTGCTTTTGTCAGAAGGTCACAAATGTTTATCACATGACCCCAGGACACTGCAACCGTCATACATGTGAGCCAGTTAAGTAAGCATCTGAATATTGATCACGTGACCAGGGGGATGCTGCAACGGTCATAAGTGAAAAAAGCATAATTCACTTTTTTTCTGTGCCGATGTAACTTCAAACGGTCACTAAATGAATGGTTGTAAGTCAAGGATGACCTGTATGAAAATAATTTGGAAGTGCTTTGGACTTCACATGAACTCCGTCTGCCCTTGTAACTTTGATCGGTCACAAAATGAATTGTAGGTCAAAGACTACCTGTATTCATAAATAACTACTGTTTTTTTTTAAAAAAAAATATCTAAAATAGAATAGAATTCCTTTATTGGAACAGTGTGATTGGACACATAAGGAATTTGTCTTTGGTGCATACGCTCTCAGTGTACGTAAAAGATTTCCTCGCACAAGCACAAAACCTGAAGATGACGAGTGGGACCTCGTCGAAACGTTGCCAAGATACTCTCAAATCTTACATGGGAAAAGACCTGAATACACCAAAACTTGCAAAAGAAAAGATATGTTCATCAAGAATCATAAAGTACAACACTTAATGATAGTCATAGGGAACAAATAAGCAATCAGGAAACAATATCAATATAAATCGTAAGGATACCAGCAACTAAGTTACAGTCATACAATCGTAAGTGGGAGGAGATGGGTGGTGGGAACGATGAGAAGATTAAGAGTAGTGCAGACTTAGTAAATAGTTGGACAGTGTTGAGGGAATTATTTGTTTAGCAGAGTGATGGCGTTCGGGAAAAAACTGTTCATGTGTCTAGTTCTAGTGCTCTATAGCATCGTTTTGAGGGTAGGAGTTGAAACAGTTTATGTCCAGGATGCGAGGGGTCTGTAAATATTTTCACAGCCCTCTTTTTGACTCGTACAGTATACAGGTCCTCAATGGAAGGCAGGTTGGTAGCAATTGTTTTTTCTGCAGTCCTAATGATCCTCTGAAGTCTGGGTCTGTCTTGTTGGGTTGCAGAACCAAACCAGACAATTATGGAGGTGCAGATGACAGTCTCAATCATTCCTCCGTAGAGCTGGATCAGCAGCTCCATGGGCAGTTTGAGCTTCCTGAGTTGGCGCAGAAAGAACATTCTTTGTTCTTTCTGCACTATTCTCTACAGGTTTTGGAGGGTTTTGCCAGCAGGAAATTTGCAGTTATTTCCAAATCATGGCCAGAACCAGCTGCTTGTTGAGAGTTATAAATTCTATTGGGTTATAAAAAGGTCCACCGTTGGGAAACCTTCCTCCACTTCTTTCACTGTCTGTGACACAACAGCAGTGTCGGGGTCCCACGTGCTTCTTGGCAGGACCCGCAAAGAATTCCCTAAAACTAACTTGAGACTGTCAAACCACAGCGTCACAACGGGCCCGCAACCGCTTGGGAAAATGTATTGCTGGGCCACAGGGGGCCGCTGCCGGCTCGCTCTTCGCCAGTCGGGCTTTTAAACCTGCTGTAGCCAAATCAAGAGAGGTCAACTCTTTTCCTTCGCCTCCAACCCACCCGCATTAAGTACTTTGTAAACGGCCTTCTGAATTGGCAAGGACTGGAAGAAAGCCGGAAGGATTTAAACAGAAATATGGTCTATATGCTGGGAATTCTCTGGCAATCTGTCGACTTCCCAGCTGTTCAGATCTGCGGTGAGATGGAAATGCTTAGATAACGCTAATCCTGGCGTGGCCGCCTGAGAATTATCTTCCAGGCAAAATGTATCGGGCCCCCATCCAAACAGCTGGCCCAGTCCTATTTCTCCACAGGTTATCAAGCAAGAACAGTAACCACGATTATTAATATAATTAATAGAGGCACTCAGTCGTGGTAAGTCATAGAAATTAAGGCTTGCTTATCTGTAAGTACACATCGGACTTTCTCTGCCTTAAACCTTGCCAGCGTTTTGCACGCGCCTAGTTTCTAAGGTGAAGAGGAAGAAAGATTCCTAAATTAAAAGTCCGGAAATTTTTGAGCCTTTCTGTATAAAGTAAGTACAGGTAGACCTTGATTTACGACCAAGTTGAGCCCAAATTTCCCATTGCTAAGCAAGACAGTTGTTAAGTGAGCTTTGTCCAGTGGTGAAAACCAATTTTTTTTACTACCGGTTCTGTGGGCGTGGCTTGGTGGGCATGGTGTGGTTTGGTGGGCAGGGCTTGGTGGGTGTGGCAGGGGAAGGATACTGCAAAATCCCCATTCCCTCCCCACTCCAGGGGAAGGATACTTCAAAATCCCCATTCCCACCCCACTCCTGGGGGAAGGATACTGCAAAATCCCCATTCCCTCCCCACTCCAGGGGAAGGAGACTGCAAAATCCCCATTCCCACCCCGCTCCTGGGGGAAGGATACTGCAAAATCCCCATTCCCACCCCACTCCTGGGGGAAGGATACTGCAAAATCCCCATTCCCACCCCATTCCAGAGGAAGGATACTGCAAAATCCCCATTCCCTCCCCACTCCAGGGGGAAGGATACTGCAAAGTCCCCATTCCCACCCCACTCCTGGGGGAAGGTACTGCAAAATCCCCATTCCCACCTCACTCCTAGATGAAGGATACTGCAAAGTCCCCATTCCCACCCCACTCCTGGGGGAAGGATACTGCAAAATCCCCATTCCCTCCCCACTCTGGGGCCAGCCAGAGGTGGTATTTGCCAGTTCTCCGAACTGCTCAAAATTTCTGCTACCTGTCAGAACCTGCTGTATTTCATCCCTGGCTTTGTCCCTTTTTCTGACCTTTCTTGCCACAGCTATTAAGTAAGTCACTGCAGTCGTTAAGTGAGCTGTGATAGAAGAATGCTTGTATCACAACTGCAGTGATTGTGTTGCTCTTCTCCATAACTTTCTCGTTCCAATCTTCGGTCCACAAAAGTTCCGGCCTGAATCATTTCTTCCTCTTTCTTGGTTTCATGTTTTCCAAAATCAAATCAGTTCTTTGTCTCCACCCTCTTCACACACACATACACAAACGCACAACACAGTTTTTTTTTCTCCCGCTGATGATCCGCCTGCTCAGGAGCAAAATTTCATCCGCTGATTTTTATCAGCCACCTGATCTTAATCCCTTCCATCGGTTTCCCAATCTCAAACAGCAGTTCCTGCTGAATATTCCCTCTATTGTCCTTTCATAACCTTAAACAACCTTGGCTGATCTCGGGAACACTAAACATGGTTTTGTTGTTAAGTCGTGAAGTCGTGTCCGACCCATCGCGACCCCATGGACAACGTTCCTCCAGGCTTTCCTGTCTTCTACCATCCTCTGGAGTCCATTTAAGCTCACGCTGATTGCTTCAGTGACTCCATCCAGCCATCTCGTTCTCTGCCGTCCCCTTCTTCTTTTGCCCTCCATCGTTCCCAGCATCTTCTCCAGGGAGTCCTTCCTTCTCATTAGGTGGCCAAAGTATTTGAGTTTCCTCTTCAGGATCTGGCCTTCTCAAGAGCAGTCAGGGTTGATCTCCTCTAGGACTGACCGGTTTGATAGCCTTGCAGTCCAAGGGACTCACAGGAGTCTTCTCCAGCACCAGAGTTCAAAGGCCTCCATTCTTTGGTGCTCAGCCTTCCTTATGGTCCAACTTTCACAGCCATACATTGCAACTGGGAAAACCATAGCCTTGACTATACGCTCTTTTGTTGGCAGGTTGATGTCTCTGCTTTTTAGTATGCTGTCTAACTTTGCCATAGCTTTCCTCCCCAGAATCAAGCATCTTTTAATTTCTCTCAATTCCTGGCAAATAGATGGGGAAGAAATGGAGGTAGTGACAGATTTTATTTTCCTGGGCTCCAAGATCACTGCAGCCAAGAAATTAAAAGAAGAAATTAAAACATGATTGGACTCAGTTAAATACCAGGCTGGGACAAAGCATATCCCGGCTGCTCCAACACAGCTCCCTAACCACCTCTGTGATGTGCTTGGAAGACATATTTTATATACCAGGTAGTCCTCGACATATGACCATAATTGAGCCCAAAACTTCTGTTGCTAAGCAAGACAGTTGTTAAGTGAATCGCTACGGTTGTTAAGTTAGTAACACCGGTGTTAAGTGAATCTGGCTTCTCCATTGACTTTAATTGTCAGAAGGTGCAAAAGGGGATCACATAAACCCTGGATATTGCAACTGTCATAAGTA